AGGCATGGTAGTGTGCACCTGTAATCCCAGCTACTCGGGAGGCTGAGACAGGAGAATCTCTTAAACCTGGGAGGCAGAGGTTGCAGTGAGTCAAGATCACGCCATTGCACTCCAGCCTGGCTGGGCGACAGAGCAAGACTCCATCTCAAAAAAAAAAAAAAAAAAAAAAAATGAAGTTTGCCACATTGACTGACTCTGCCTTTCACAAAAGATTTCTCTTTTGGTAGCATTTTACCCACAGTAGAACCTCATTCACAATTGAAGTCAATCCTATCATACCCTGCCACTGCTTAATTAACTAAGTTTATAGAATATTCTAAATCCTTCATTGTCATTTCAACAATGTTCACAGCATCTTCACCAAGAACATATTCCCTCTCAAGAAACCACTTTCTTTGCTCATTCAGAAGAAGCAACTCTTCATCCATTCAAGTTTGATAATGAGATTGCAGCAATTCAGTCACATTTTCAGGGTTCACTTCTAATTCTAGTTCTCTTACTATTTCCACCACATCTGCAGGTACTTCTTCCACTGAAGTCTTGAACCCCTCAAAGTCATCCATGAGGGCTGGAATCAAATTCTTCTAAACTCCTGTTAATGTTGATATTTTGACCTCCTCCCTTGAATCACAAATGCCCTTAATGGCATCTAGAACTGTGACTCCTTTCCAGGTTTTCAATTTACTTAACCAAGATCCATCAGAAGAATCACTATCTATGGCAGCTATAGCTTTACAAGATGTGCTTCTTAAATAATAAGTCTTGAAAGTTGAAATGACTCCTAGATCCATGGGTACAGAGTGGGTGTTGTGTTAGCAGGTATGAAAACATTAATTTCCTTGTACATCTCCATCAGAGCTCTTGGGTGACCAGGTGCATTGTCAATGAACAGCACTGTTCAATGGTACCTTTTTTTCTGAGCAGTGGGTCTCAACAGTGAGCTTAACAGATTCAGTAAACCATGCTGTAAACAGATGTACTGTCATCCAGGCTTTGTCATTCCATTTATAGAGCACAGGCAGAGTAGATTTTGCATAATGCTTAACGATTTTTGGAATGCTAAATGAGCACTGGCTTCAACTTAAAGTCACCGGCTGCACTAGCTCCAAACAAAAGAGTCAGCCTGGCCTTTGAGACAAGGCATTGACTTCCCTCTAGCTAAGAAAGTCCAACATGGCATCTTCTTCCAATATAAGGCTGTTTCGTCTACACTGAAAATGTGTTGTTCAGTGTAGCCACCTTCATCAATGATCTTAGCTAGATATTCTGGATAACTTGCTATAGCTTCTATATCAGCATTTGCTGCTTCACCGTGCACTTTTATGTTAGGGAAGCAGCTTCTTTCCTTAAACCTTGTGAACCAACCTCTTCTAGCTTCCAACTTTTCTTCTGCAACTTCCTTACCTCTCTCAGCCTCCAGCGAATTGAAGAGTTAGGGTTTTGCTCTGCTGGCTTAGGGGAATGCTGTGGCTGGTTTCATCTTCTACCCAGACCACTAAAACCTTCTCTGTATCAGCAATAAAGCTGTTTCACTTTCTTATCATTGGGGTGTTCAGTGGAGTAGCACTTTTAATTTCTTTCAAGAACCTTTCCTTTGCATTCAGAGCTCGGTTGTTTGGTGCAAGAGGCCTAGATGTTGGCCCGTCTTGGCTTTTGTCATGACCTCCTCACTAAGCTCACTCATTTCTAGCTTTCTGATTTAAAGTGGGAGACATGCGACTCTCCATTCATTTGAATACTTAGATGCCAACATAGAGTTATTAATTGGCCTCATTTCAATATTGTTGTGTCTCAGGGAATAGGGAGGCCTGGAGTGAGGAAGAGAGATGGGGAATGGCCAGTTGGTGGAGATATCAGAACATAGGCAACATTTATTAATTAAGTTCACCATATTATACAGGTGTGGTTCATGGAGCCCCAAAACAACTAGAATCGTAACATCAAAGATCACTGACCAAAGATCACCATAACAGGTAGAATACCAATGAAAAGGTTTGCAATATTGTAAGAATTACCAAGATATGACAGAGACACATAAAATGAACATACCTATTGGAAAAATAGCACCAATAAACTTGCAGGGGTGCCAACGAACCTTCAGTTTGTAAAAAACACAGTATCTTCAGAGAGCAAGCCTGACTAACAAATTCCTTCACTTTTAATTCAAAGTGAAGGAATACCCTTTCCTTCTGAACGGATCCCATCTAATAAAACTCAAGACTTAAGTCATTCATTACAACTCTGTCTGTATTGCAATTAGGAGAGAAATAGTTGCAGTACCTTTGTATCTTTTTCAGTGAAATGTTTATAACAAGGAAAAACAAAAATCTGTTTGAAAACTCCAATAAGCAGCCCCCAGTGCACCATCTAGTGGAAGTCAGGTAGTGTCGTAATTAATTTAAAAAAAGAAAAAAGTCACAGAAACTCTGAAAACCACTGGGGGAGTGGGAGGAGTCAAAGCTTCAGGTAAGAATACAGGCAAATACTTTACAAACAGCCAAAATATCTTTCCAGTGTCCCACACTGCAAGAGGGCTGGGCTTATGAGAATAAATGATTCATTTTCTGTATAATCAACAGATGATAAAAGTTCCTTTATGGAAATTTTTGCTTGGGTGCTAGAAATTTTGACAGGAGAGTAAAAGTTAAATATAGTCACTAAAACATAAATCAGTAAATAAATGCAGGGTAGAGTGACAGCCTTGTGTAAAAGTTGCCTTATATGTTACATGAATGTGTTAAAATGTACATATGAAACAGAGTTATTAGCCACAAAACAACAGATAACTTCATGATTAGAACAGTTACATTCAGGCCAGGTGCAGTGGCTCACGCCTGTAATCTCAGCACTTTGGGAGGCCAAGGCAGGCAGATCACGTGAGGTCAGGAGTTCGAGACCAGCCTGGCCAACATGGTGAAACCCCATCTCTACAAAAATACAGAAAAAAAAAAAAAATAGCTGGGCGTGGTGGCATGCACCTGTAGTCCCAGCTACTCGGGAGGCAAGGCAGGAGAATCGCTTGAACCTAGGAGACAGAGATCACAATGAGCCACTGCACTCCAGCCTAGACAACAGAGTGAGACTCTACCTCAAAAAAAAAAAAAAAAGTTCCCTTCAGTAATCCATAAGACATTTTCATGTTCCTCATAACTAGTAAATTTAACATAACCTAACAATTCTCTAGAATTCCCTAAGCCTTAACATCATGCAAGAGATTACTCCCAACTACCCATTTCAGCCTGTCCCACACTAAAGCCCAAACTCCTTTGGTCGAGTTATTCTAATCAAGAAATTAATTTTCGACCCATCTATAAATGTACAGTAAACACTTCCCAAAACAAAGTCATAAGTCATGATCAAAATGCACTTCACTTCATTAGTATTTTCCTTCTGCATATCAATTATTTCTATTCAATTCAAAAAACGGTACTGAAATTCGACGCTGAGCTAGTGATAAGGTTCTCTAATTTGGAAAGCTTCCCAAAATTTAAAATAGAGATTTTCACACAGCACTACTAACTTTTGTTTGTTTTGCCTATGTGGAAAATTACCTTTCACCTGAAATTCAAACTAGCTTAGCAACCTGGATGGAAAGAAAAACCTCAGAGACAATATTCCTTTACTTGAAAATAACCATCTCCACCTCTGACCTGTGTACACGGGATCGAATTGGTATGCAGAAGCTGGCTTGATGGCAGGAATCTTACCCAGATATTGGATTACATCCATTACAGGTATAAAATAAAGTAGGAGTAAACTGAGGCAGGATTCCTTTCATCTCCAGGGCTTTCAGTTGACATACCTGTAAAATGGACATGCTACGCACAGCCTGCCTCAGAAGAGTAGGAGGATGGCATACTGTATAACTGATAGAGTGCTAAGAGCTTCACAATTAAGTGGAAATACTGTTTTTGTAAAACCTGAGTGAACCTGAGCATAGAAAACTCTCCAAGGGCCATCGCTGTGACATTACCGCTAAAACTCAGTGACCTTCATCAATTCACTTGTAAACAAGCAATATACTGAGAGCACGTCAAAGGAAAGGTAGCAACAATTTAAGATACTTCTTTATAAGTAAATCAAATCACGTAATTAATAGCCCAGGATTTACCTGCAAACTATTACTGCCTGAATAGCAGGTGCATCCCCAAAGCCTCGAGTTCAGAGACTGTTTTTGGAAAGCCCCCCTCCCTTTTTTAATGTGAATATTGTTTTTAAAAATTAGAAAAAGAAAAAAAAATCACAATTCTACTCCCACCCATGGCACAGTGACAGAAACAAGGTCCCACCCCCACAATCCTTTCAAACCTGCACAGGCATTCCTCACGAATACTCCTCCCCCTCATTCCTACTTCACCGCTCCCCACTTCAGCCCAGACAAAGGTGAGTTACTCGGCTGGGTCTACCTGTCACTTAAGCAAAAGCCCCCACACAGATTCACGCTAAAGGCTGCTTTTAATTTTTTAAATAGTAAATAAGTAAATAAATAATGCTATCGTGTAGACAGCATTACACGGCCAAACGCCTGTTCTCAGAAAACATGTAATTAACACGACCCAAGTGAAGACGCCTTTCTGGCTTAGAGGAAGAAAAAAAAGAAGCCAGCCAGCTTACCGCTCCCTTTCAGTCGGTTCTTTCCCCCGAGGAGCCGGACTCTGACTCAACTCCGCAGTTCTCCCTCCACCTGCCGGTCCTCCCCGCCCTGGGTCGGCCCCGTCGCCGCCCCAGCCCGGAGTCCCGCGAGTCACCAGGGGTCTCCAGAGGTCCTCAGGGTCCCGCCCGAGACGGCCCCGCCCCTGCCCCGGCCCCGCCCCCACCTCCCCGCAAGGTGTCCGCCGCGGGCTCCCGGGCTGAGGCGCCTAGAGGCCGGCAGGAGGCTCCGGAGGACCGGGGCCCCGCTCGGCCCGGTCGCCGGCTCTGGGAGCAGCTTCGGGGGCCGAACCCACCGCCCGCACCTAGCCCGGGGCTCAGACAGGCGCTCCCCAGCGGCGCCCCATTACCTGCTCTGGGCAGCCGCGGTCGGCGAGCAGGAGGCGCACTCGCTCTGGCCCCTGCAGCCCCGGGCCCCGAGGCAAGGAGACAGCGACCGCCACCGCCGCAGAGGACAATCGGGAGCCAGCGGGCTCTGCACCGCCGCGGCGGGCGCAGAACGCACGAGCCCAGTGGGAGCCCGGCCCCCGCCTCAGCCCTGCTAGTAACCAACACGGCCCCCACCCTCGTGGGGGCGGGGCCGACGCTGGAGGGGCGGGGCGGAGCCGCACCGCCCGCGGGGTAAGAGGGGCCTGCTAATAGGCTGCGAAGGCGGTAGGCGTCTCAGACTTGAAGACAGCCCCTCCAGCAGAACTCCCTCATTGGTCGGCAAGAGAAACCAAAGCTGGGCTCTGATTGGTGACAGCTCTGTAGTTCCTCCTCCTACCCGCAGTCCCGGCAAGTTCCGCCCCTGCCCGCCTGGTTCGCTAGCCCTTGGTTCCCCACACCCAGGTGGCTGCAGGCTGGGGTGTGTTTCATGGACGAGCAACCTCCCTGAAGAGAACCCCGGATACGCAGGTTCATTCGCCAGATGCGCATTTTCTTAAGCTCCTGCGATTCTCTAATTTCAGTATGAACTTGGTGAATAACGTAATCTTTAACTTCGTTTGGATTTGGAGAGGTCTCCTAGGTTTAAAAATGCTGCGTAAGATTGAGAGGGATATTGTTATCCACGAAGACGGACAAGGTGTTTTCACCTTTGGCGACACTGTAGGTGACTTTTTTTCTTATTACCTTTTTGTGTTCTATATTGAACATGTACTACATGATTAGAAAAAAAAATAAATAGAAAAATAAGTAGAGTGTGGAGAATGGTAAAGACAAACTTTAAGGAAATTCAGAGAACTGATTCTTTCACAATAGAAGAAAATACAGTAAACATGCTCAATATCTGAGGGCTACCCAAAAAGACGTGAACTGGTATCAGCGCCCTTCAGCTCTCTTAAAGAACTTTACAGATGTGACCGAGCTGCCCCCATACTTCTTCCTATCATGTAACCAACACATAATGTAGACAGCACCACAGTGCAAACAGAATTAAAGAAAGACTCTGATAGGAAGAATTAGAATCCAAAGTACACAATCAATAAAGCTTTAGAAAAAGGGGTTTTAAAAAGCAGAAGACAAAAAAAAATCAGGTAATATAAATTGGAAAGCTCAGCTAATGGAGGGAATTATCAGAAAAAAAAATAATGTGACAACACTTCAAGATGTGATCAGAGATTTTGAATAGAAAGCTGAAGGGAGAGGAAGGGGATTGAGATAAGGAGCAATGACCTGCAGTTAATATAAGCTCTCAGAACACATCCCCCAGAACTGGTGTCAGCCTAGAAGGCAGGAAGCATTTCTCACCTAGGGACCATTCTCACTTAACTCTCTCTAGCTGCCTTAATGTTCTGTTTGTTCTTGTCATTCTCACAAAGTTCTAAAACAGGCTATTTGAAATTAAGCACTTACCCCAGCAACTCTGTGAATTACCTAATAGTGAAAAATGGAGATAGCAAACCTAAGGAAGGAAAGGAATGTTAAGGTAAACATAAACTTAAAGAGAAGTAAGGGCAAAACAGCTGATACAAAGAAGACAAAAAATTCTTTTTTCTCTCTTACTTCCTGAGAATAAGGTAAAGCTCTTTGGAGGACAGAGTAACCTTGTTGCCTAACAAAAAGAGTTTTTACCAAACCTTTCTAATAACTGTAATTCTAAACTGTAGTCTAAAAATATGTGTCCTAAAGTAAGTACTTTGAGCAAATAGTTTTGAGATCTAATATTTTTACATAGTATAAGGAAAAGAAGAGGAACTTAGCCTAATATGAACAAACTGGAAGGAATACCCTTCAAAAGTTTCTTCTACAATAACACCTGAAATTCCACCACCACTAACATTCTTTCACTGGGATTAAATAATTTATGTCTAAGATTATTCTTTTTTTCATTTACTCATCAAACATGTAATCAATATTATCAAATACTAGATGCTGCAATGAACGAGACATTCTACTAAGCACTCAGAGTATAGCCTTAAACAAGACAGACTTGCAGCTATTTTTATCAGTAGAAGATGGACAATGATCCAATAAAAAGATGAACTTGCAGACTGGGATCAGGGCAAAGAAGAAAACAGTGACCAGAGGGATGGCAGACACACTTAATTTTGGGAAGGGAGAAAAATGCTTTAAGGAAAAATGATCTAACAGAAATGCTCTAAGATTTGAGGCACCACCTAAATAAGAAAACACCAACTTAGCAAAACTCCAGGGCAGATAAAATAGCAAGAACAAAGGCCTTGAAGTAGGAAGAAAAGTAATGTATTGCAGGAAGAGAGAGAAAGCCAGCATGGGTATCATGGTGCATAAGGAGAGTGCTACTAGACAGGTTGGAGAAGGAGGTGAGGACCTTGTAGGCAATGATAAGAATTTTGTATTTTGTTACAAGGATTCCTCACAGGGGCAACATCAAGTTGCTGATAGTGGAGTAAAATCATTATTTTTTTTTTTTCTTTTTTCGGGTTCCCCGTTAAATTGGGCTTTCTTTCTTTAGGCCAATCCATCAGGAATAGATCCAGGAAGAACCTACTGTTTACTAGGAATAGGTTAGATCTGTGGATATAACAATGAATAAGACAAGACTCTGGTGGATCTATAGAGAAACTATTACTGCACAGATGATGGGGATATCAAAAGTACTATGGGGCCAAGGAGACTGTCCTGCAGCAAATGAGGAATAAGCTGAAAAATCAGTAGGAGCCATCCCAGAGAAAAGGGACAGGGTTCTAGACCCAGAGAACAACAGAAGAGCATTCAGTGCCTGCAAGGGAGCAGGGGATCTAATGCAAAGCCATAGGGACCATTGCATAACGAGTCAACTTTCCCCACATCACAAGCTTGCCTAGCCTGGATGGACCCAGAATGTTAAAACAAATGTCTAATTAGTAACGACATTCTGAATGCTTGGGAGCTGGGCAAAATATGAGGAGAAGCAAGCTGATTTTTGTTTTGTATTATTATCTCCTTTATTCCAGCAACAAAAGACACTGAAAAGAGTAAATGCCCACTTTTAACCATGACAATCCTTTTAGGACAGTAACAGTGAGCAGTATTAATCCTGTTTGACCAGAACTAGGACAGAGTTGAAGCCCCTGGAGTAGAGATCTGTTCTGTTAGCCCCAGCCTTTCTGTCTGCTTCTTGGCATGGCTGTCTTCATCAGTTGAGCCTCCAGTGTTAGCAGATACCTATAAGGGAAGACAGCCAGCCCTCACTATGGAGGGCCAGAAAGAGAAAGTGCCAGGTATTAGGAAATGTCAAAGTATCTCAGTACATCCAGCTGATTAGTGACAGATAAGTCAAAATTTGCAGCAACTAAATAAATAAAAAAGTAAGAAGATTTAAAAATTTAATATTTGAAATATTTGGCACAATGCTTCAAAGTCACTGAAAAGCTATCTCTTCACCCTAATAGAGGACAGAAATTCATTATATAAATAGAAGAGGCTGCGTACAGTAGCCCACGCCCATAATCTCAACACTTTTGGAGGCCAAGGTGGAAGGATTACTTGAGGCCAGGAGATCAAGACCAGCCTGAGCAACATAGCAAGACATCTTTAAAAAAAAATTAGGCCGGGCACGGTGGCTCAAGCCTGTAATCCCAGCACTTTGGGAGGCCGAGACGGGTGGATCACGAGGTCAGGAGATCGAGACCATCCTGGCTAACCCGGTGAAACCCCGTCTCTACTAAAAAATACAAAAAAGTAGCTGGGCAAGGTGGCGGGTGCCTGTAGTCCCAGCTACTCGGGAGGCTGAGGCAGGAGAATGGCTGAACCCGGGAGGCGGAGCTTGCAGTGAGCAGAGATCACGCCACTGCGCTCCAGCCTGAGTGACAGAGTGAGACTCTGTCTCAAAAAAAAAAAAAAATTTAAAAATTAGCCAGGTATGGTGATACGCAGCTGTAGTCCTAGCTATTTGGGAGGCCGAGGTGGGAGGATTGCTTGAGGCCAGGAGTTCTAGGCTGCAGTGAACAGAGATTGTGCCACTGCTTTTCAGCCTGGGCAACAGAGTATAGATGATAGATAGATAATAGATAGTTGATAGATAATAGATAGTTGATAGATATAGATAATAGAAAGTTGATAGATAGATTAGATGTATGGTAGAACCCAAGGGCAAAAATAAGTTAGCCCTCAGGAAGACCCAGATCCCAGACCCGAAAAGCCAGGAGAAACTCAGTGGAATTTTTTCTCCATAGCAGATGTTCTGTCTACACCTGTGCTCTGTTCTCCTATTCTGACAACCAGCTTTCCTGGCTCCTATGTCCCAGTGTCAGAGAAATGATGTTCCAGAGCTGCACCCACAGGGACTAAATCACCTGCCTAACCCTAACCCTAATCATAGGTGATGGGAGCTTCAGGGGACCAATATGGCTGCCAGGGCCCATCCCTGTTTATGAGCAGAGGTTTCCCAGAGAAGACACACTGGGCAGATTACCAGACAGGCATTCATTGCACCCCCGACATTTTCAATCGCCAGTCAATGAGGCTTCATTTCTAGTTACTGAAAGTCTTCGCCTGTTGTTTACAGTAAACTGGAGACCTAGAGGCCAAAGCCGAAGGCTTGGATGGTAAATTCCCACATTCTCTAGAAATCTTTCTACTTCAGTTGGCTTCCAGACACCTAGTACCCTTGTCTCTTCCAGTTTCAAGTTGCCATTCTTGTTCAGGTCTTCTAGTACTTTCCTGTTTCCCTGTCTGAAGTGTACCTCCTGACCTCGATGTATTTAGAGAGTAAATGCTCCTGCCAGGTCTGTGTCAGTGAACTAGCCTGCTGCTCTGGGCTCAGATGAGACCAGCTTGCAGAACAAGCAGGACAGAGGAGTGAAGGGAAGCAGATGGCAAACCTCGATCTGCCACCATCCCTTCCACAGGGATTCAGTGTGAGGAGATCTGTCCCCACCCCTGGATGAAAACTTGGGTGATCCCGAAACTTTTCTGATGGCTCACAGGTAATATCATTTGGTCAGTTTACATCACAATATGCAGCTTTAATTTTAATGTAAATGCCATTGATCAACACTTCAAGCTTCATTCACAGTTACACTTTCCCTCCACTTCCCCAGAAGGGGTCCCATGCAGCCAAACTATGGAACTCCAAAAAGCAGGAAAGGATCCTTCTCTCTATCCCCCTAGAATCCCCTTCAAATTCAGGTTGCAAAAAGAAGGGGGAAGAGTCCAGGACTAGCAAGTTCATGCTTAACTGGTGCGTTGCTAGCAGGGGTTGCTCTCCAAGCCTGGACAATGACTAAAACGTGCGCTTCCTTCTTGGGTCCTTTCTTGGGTTCTTAGAGACCTGCACTTGAAACATCTGACTCCACTTCTCATGACCCGAGCAATGCAATTTTCTCTAACACTTCCCCTTGCTTTCTCATTCCCTGCAAGCCACTTTATAGTCTCCTGTTACAGGGGAAGGAGGGAAATGGTCTCTAGGCTTCTCTAGGTGTTCCTTGTAGGCAGGATTTAAGCACCTTCAGCCCAGCTCTCTCTAACAAACAGCTGTTATCTGGTCTTTCAGACATTCATCCATTACTCCCATGGGTGGTAGAAGTGCAGCTGGCTCTGTGCAGACTGGTCTTCAGTGTTCTCTCGCTTTCTCCACACCTGCCCCACTGCTGCCTCAAGCCAATACCTTCAGCCTCTCCGCTTGAGAGTTATCTCCAAATACCAGGGGACACAAATCAAGTTGCCCTTGCAGTCCTACTGACACTGCCTCTCTAGTGAGTTCAAGGAGGAAGGTCTCAAAGAAGTAGGAGTTATCGAATTGCTTTCTTCAGAGAAAACATCTTCATAGATTATTTCCTGAACTCCACTTCCTCTGCCCTTTTATGATCCTATTTTGGGTGAGGCACTTTTAAGAGTCACCCAGGGGCTAGGATATTTCCTTTGAAGATTTGCTTCTCACTCTGACAACTTATTTTAGAATGTCACACCTATTAATTATCTCGGTGTGGTAGTGCACACCTATAGTCTCAGCTATTCAGGAGGCTGAGGCAGGAGGATTGTTTAAGCCCAGGAGGTCGAGGCTGCAGTGAGTGATGATCACGCCATTGCACTTCAGCCTGGGCAACAGAGAAACCCTGTCTCAAAAAAAAAAAAAAAAAAAAA